GGAGAGATATGTCCTCGTAAAGGCCCCAAAGGCATAAGTTTGTATTTAAGCACTTAAAAAGGTGTAATTTAACCCACAAAGGGCATGAGGAAGATTTTCTCAGATGTAAACCTTATTCTGTAAAACAAACACGTTACTGGGAGTGAAGCAGCATTTTCATACTGAATTGATCTGTTTTGCCTCTAAGGGTCATTGCACTGTGTAAGTAAAGAGCAAGGGATCAAATGTTAAAGAAAATATGATTGCATAACATAGTTTGTTATTTAAAAAAAAAATGTAGCTATATACCTTATTTACTAGTTATTTGCTTTAATTAAAAACAAATAGAAAGGTGAATATAAATGGAATTGGGAATACTGTGCTAATTTGCATCATTGTTTAATTTCCTGAAATACAATAATTAAAGTAAACATTAATTACTAAAACTATTTTTCATTTTCAAAGTGCAAAATGTACTTATTTCTCAAGTAGCCTTATGTTTTTACAAGAGCTCTCTCTTGTGGCTATAACTGTTTCTGCACTGTAACAAGTTTGGATATTTTGAGGGCTATTTTAAAAATTATTTTTTATTGCAATTTGAGGTAGTAGGAAAAACAATGCCAGAACTCTGGCTGGCTGGCAGCAGATAGGGATAATATAATGATAAATCTGGAAAAATAATTCTTATTCACCAAAGCATAGGCCATTGAAAATAGTTTTGTTTTTTTTTTATTGTAATAGGATGGCTTAAAATAATAGCCAGCCTAGAAAAGATGGCGAAAATTATTGCTGCAAAAGCAAACATAGAACAATTGTAACAATTGTAACATATAGTCCACACAAAACTGAAGAACTCATTAAAATAATGAAGAAAAATTATGAAACTGCAATTGCTTCTTCTTCTGCTTGTGCAGTGGTTCACCTCTGGTTATCCTCTTCATAACAAGGATATATTTGTAGCAAGTGAGAGGTGTTCAGAAAGGGATTTGAGCCAAGTTGTTCTGTGATGTTGTGTTTGGTATTGGTCATCTTATAGCAGATACTAATTTAAATGAACTGTGCTGAGGACCTGGTCCACACCATCTACTGACTGCCTTCATGTCTGACCCCAAATGCTTTACCTGCAACTTCTTCATTCTTATAAAAAGGGACTTCTGGGAATCCCTTACTGTAGGCCAAGATGTCTGAGCAACCTCTCTTTTTGCCCAGAATGAAGGGATTTTGAATGAAGTAGCATGTCTGCTGATTCGGAGAGAGTACAGGGAAAAACAGCTTTGGGAAATGGTGTGCTGCAGAAAAGGTACTGTGATTGCTATCAAGGATTAGACACCTCATGTTTAATGCAGAATTTGGACATTTGAATAATGAAAGCTAAATCTCTGTTAAAGGGAGAAAATAGGAGTCTGGAGTTTACTACCAATGGGAGTTACACTCACCAATGTTTGGCAAGTAGATTAATTACTCTTTACTAACCTGCTCTCATCAACTGAGGATGAAATGCCTTTAGGTAGGCTATGGGACTTTTGTTTGACATGTCTTTTCTGTTTCTCAGAGGTATGTACTGATATGTAGTTGCAATAATAATAAATGATAAATCCAGATTTCAATTTTCCCTAGATCACTGCTATGCTACAAGGTTTTACTGACTCACTTATTAATATTTAGAAATACTTTGAGATCCTCAGATGGAAGATGCTATAACAAAAAAGGTTATTGTCTCATGAAAGGTATCTGAAGAAATAAAGTTTAAAATATATGCAAGCCTTTCCATGATTTTTGTATGCTTATAACTTTCCACACAGCTAATAAATATTTTCCTAAAAAGGGCAAAAACTTACCATTGAAATAAAAAAGCTGCTCTTGCAAATTAGTCAAACTCAAGTAGACCAGCCTCCAGTTTGAACATGATGGATGAAAATCTTCAATCTCAAGAGCTAAAGCTATGCCAATAGCTATGTGAGGTTAATCAGAAGTCAGAAACCTTTCTGTGCATGGGGTTAAAATGAATGACCCAAATCTATTAATAAATGCTTTTAACAACAAAAAGAGAGTGGCTACACATAAAATGCCAGCTGGTATTAAGACACAGTAGCTGGAATATTCAACTTTCTAAACCATATCTATGAATTAGTTAAGAGTTTGCTATTTGGCTCAGGTCAGAAATGTTCCTGAAATGGTCTAAGAGCTTAAAAATACAGACAATTGCATTGCCTGCCTGGTTCTGTTTAAATTATCAACATAGATGCAGTCTAGAAAGTGATTGTGCGTGACATAGATGTAAACGGTGAGGTGACTCAAGAGTGGAAGGAATTTATTGTGGGATTGAAATATTAAAACTTTATCAAACTAACTTGAAAAAAACATGTCATTACATTCCTGCATTAAAGTAATTCCTTTATCAAAGTTGCAGAGAAAAAGACAAATGGACTTAAATATAATTTTTGTTGAATTTCCCAATATTAAAAAATGACAGGCAAAATAAGTAAAATTAATGTCACAATCCTCAAAATACACTCTTATTCAACAAAAAATAATAACAAAATGTCAGGAGTTTTATTTGAATGAGTAGTTTAACTGACTTCAGAGGCTAAATCCTTAGGGATTTAGCATGTTAAAAAAGTAAGACGGACAAGCCTTAGTCCCAAGGCTATGTGAACTCAGCATAATGCCACAGCGTGGTACTACCAGTGGCATGACTATATTTACTGCACTACAGGACAATGCTCTCAGACTCTACCCTCTGGCCCTGATCTATCATTCTACTGTTCTCCCATGTAGTACCACCTTGGTGTGGGGGGATCATTCACAGGATGTCCTGATCTCTACAAGAGAACAGTGAATAGATCCAAGCCCCTCTCCTGGTACACACAGCTTTTCACTGATATTCTTTATTTCCAAAAGTGTTTCTGATTCATAAACCTGAGAGCTGGACCATAAACCAGGGAATAAGAACTGGGAAAGAGCATTTCTTGGGAAGAAATAACATAAATTTCGAAGCTTGATTTGGTTGTTGCTAGTAGTGCTTACACTAAGCC